GTATAATAATACTAATGTAAAGGTAAGTTCAGTTCATTGAATAATATTTATTAATATGAAAAAAATGTATGATAATTGATGTTGGTGATATTATTACACCTATGATATTATATTGACCCTGAATACTTTTCCAGTTAATAGTTAATCAACGTCGCTGGATTAGTTAGTTAATTGTTTGACGATAAAAAGTGATTATTACCTTGTCTCTCTTTCTCTCTATTGTCATATTAGATAATTGTAATGATAAGAAACGGATGGAGAGAAAATATCAGCAGAGAGAGAGAGAGAGAGAAAAGAAATTGAAAGAAAAGGAAGAGACATTTTAGAAAAGAAAATGATAATAGTTCTAATGATAATGATACGAAGATGATGAAGGTGGCAAATGAGAAAGAGAGAAAAGAGAGTGACAAGACACCCAAGGTCAGAGATGGAGAGACGATCAAGGTAGAAGAGGGTGGAGGAAGAAAGAGAAGAAGATGAAGAAAAGAAAGAGAGGAAGATGAGGGGGAGAGGGGAGAAAATTGATGTTGAGCGGAAACACTAACAAGTGAGTAGAAGTCGGGGTGGTGGAGAAATGGTAAGATAGAGAGAGAGAGAGAGAGAGAGAGAGAGAGAGAGAGGAAAGATTCTGATTCCCTCTGAGTGTTACCTTTAGAAATTAAGGAAATTAAAGAGACTGAGATAGTATTATCTTTCTCTTTCTTATCTTCTCTTTCTTTTCTCTATCTTTCTCAAGGAGGGTTCCAAGTGACTGATTTTCTTGTTCTTTTTTCGCATTTAATCTCTCAACCTTAGCAACAATAGTTCACCAGTAAGAACAATTTACTCAACCGGATCCACTCCTTTTCCTCTCCCTCCCTCCCCTCTCTCTCTCTCATTACATGTTAGTTACCTTTCTGAGAATCTTCTTCATACCTTCGTTATCTTCTTGTTTTTTCTTACTCACACTCTTAGATCTTTTTCTAATTTACCTCCCACCTCTCTCTCTCTCTCTCTCTCTCTCTCTCTTCATCATCTTCTTTTCCACCCTCACCTCCTCCCTCACAGGAAACACAATGTCATCAGCCTGATCTTCTCCTCCCTCTCTCATCATCATATCAACTCTCATATTCTTCCAACGTCAACGATTACATGATTGTTTTTTTTTCTTTTTTCCACTTTTTCTTCTTCTTTTTTCTCCCTGATAGAAATTGTCACATGCGCTCATCTTAGGATTATGAAAGTTGAAAGGTAAACGATGCCTTAAGGGCAAAGATCAAGCATAAAAGGTAATCAATTGCTTAAAAGAGTCGATCAAACTTTCCAATCACATAATTAGCATATTGATTATCATCAATTGATCATTTATCTTTTAGATTTAAAACTTTAAATCGTAACGATAAGATGAAAATTGTGTATTTTCATTGGTAAAATTGAGCCACAAGATATAAAGATCGTTACTAAAGTTATCGTTATGTTGATTAACTTAATTGTGATTAAACGCTAAGGCTAATTGTTTATTTATCTTCACCAGGTAAATATTGATTTGCTTAAAGTGAAATGTGAAAAATGTTTCCCCCTAATTGATAACAATCAATTTTCATGCAAGGATGGACAGGCAACAGTATTTTTCATGCACCAATCAACAATCAAACAACAAATATAAACAATCAATGTACACACACAACAATCAACAACAATTTACGTAATCAGTATCATAGACACACTTAACAGTCAATCAATATCATCATCAGCTGATCACAGTGACAACAAAAGATAAACAAATATTTTCACTTTCACGGAAAAATTGACATTGAAAAATTAATAATCTTAATCCACTAATCTAATCTGAGAAAGTACAAAATGTTCAACATTGAATCTAAGGTTAACCCTTTTGATCAGAAAATTGGAAACCCAAAAGGTTATTAATACCTAGCGAATAGCCTAAAGGCTCAGAATCTTTGGTGAAACAAATTCTACAACTTTTTCTCTTTCTTATCATCAGATTGAATTCTATTCATTTTTTTTTGTTCTATTATCATGATTAGAACTTTTTTCTTTCTTATCCCATTGTTTAATTTCCTTCTTAGTACAATATCTTTAAATGTCTTCATCGAATTCGAATTTTTTTTTGTTTCTCTTTTTACTTGATATTCCATTCAATTCTTGATGATATATATTAAGTTTTCTCTCTCAATCTTAACCATTATTCATGGTTTGATATTCACGGGTGAGAGATTAAAGTAAGAACATAATCTATTATCTAATCTGAATGAATTGGAAAAGGAAAGATTGAAATTCTGGATTCATGGTGATGTTTTCAGGGTCAAATTGGTGTGAAAAAAAGATGAACATACAACGGATGAGATGTTACTACATTTTCATCAATGACTGATGAATAATAATCAAGATGGAGAAAAGAATTTTTTTTTCTCTCTCTTTTCTTATTCTTTTCTCTTTTTTCTTCTTTTTTAAACTGATATTTATTAGTACAAAAGATTAAGATGACGATGATCATGATGATGAACATGAGAATCAACATGAGAAATTGAATAAATGAGAAATGAATTGATGAAGAAAAAAAGAAAACAAAACAACAAAATGCTCAGCATTTCCTCCAGAATCTGGTATCTCCACCCAAGAAATAATGTCAACTCTTTTCTTATATTGTCATCTTCATCATTTATCACCTTTGTCAAGATGATATAGATGATGATGATGACAAGAAAATCCATAGAAGACATTGAATGGTAACAATTGATAACCTTTGACTACCTGTTGCCATTTCCTTACATTGAATTAGACAATGAGCCAAGGATTTTAACATTCACCATGAAAATTATCATGAAAAACTTAAGGTGAGGAAATGATAACAATGATCATGGCGATAATTAGAAAATCGTAGATCCGGTAAGAAATATTTCCAATTCTCAATTCGATTGTAAACTTTGTTGTTGTGTTAACTTTTTTTTTCTATTCTATTTTACCAATTAATTCGAAAAAAAGAAAAAGAGAGAGAGAGAGAGTTTATTTCTCATCTTTTCATCATCAACATGATGATGCTAATGTTGGTTATCATTGTTGATTATGTTGGTGCTGTTAATTGTTATAACAGATGGTTGATGAAGTCCCTTTACTTTGCTGTTATCTTATGTTAGTTTATCAACAACAACATCAGATCCTCTCACTTACCTCACTCATCATCATCTACCTGTCCGAAGGAGTCCTTGTCTCTCTCGCTTGCTCTCTCTTAAACCACGTCCGGTCACTCTTTCCTCTCTCTCTCTCTCTCTCTCTTTCTCTTACGATGAAAAAAGAGTAGTAAGTTAATAGTAATGATAATATGCTATTAAGCACGAGTCTCTCTTTCTTTTCCTCTTACTTTAGTTTCATTGACCATATGCTGTCCGCATCATCATCAAGGATGATTATAAATGGGGGTGGATGGTCAATGAGTAGTAGTCAATGAATGAGATGCTTTTACTATTTTTCCTCTTTCTCTTTCTCTCTTCCTCTCCCGCGCCCACTTTTCATCAGAAAATCATCTTCATCATTTTTTTCATTTTCTTTTCTTCATTAAACTTTAATTTCGCTTATGGCAATTTTCACTTTCTCCTTGATTATCGTTTCATCCTCATCTCTAAATAACATTAAGTTGTTTGAAATTTTCTTCTCCCTTGATTCAGTTTCTAATTAGCTCTTTTATCATTAGAATCGTCATCGTTTTCTTCCTCATCTTTCTAAACCGTTGAAACTTTTTTTTCTTTTACTAACTAATCTGATCTCAATTGCTTTTCCTCCAGATTGACCATCATTCTGCTTGTTGTTACTGCTCATCATCATCATTCTGTCAATAGGATGGTGTGTGTAGCGTGTGAGGGTGGATGATGATGATGATGATGATGATCAAGGTGAAGGTGAGTGAGAGTGGGTCATAGTAAAATTAATAGTAACAGAAAATTTAACGGAAAAACTTTTAATAGGCAATCATGAAGGTGGCAAAGGTGAATGAGGCCCGGTGAAAGTAAATATAACAGACTTTTAACCTCTCGAGCACACAAACATCATCATTATCAGTCTCATCTTCAACCTCCATCCCTTAATAATAATCATCAACTGATTATCATCATTTTGTCAGTTGAAAACAAAAACTTTTCTGTTTCTTGTGAATAGAACAAAAAGTTTCATATTTTGTCTTCTCATCTCTTTATCGTTTTCATCTTCATTCTTGATTCAATCATCATCATGATGAGGATGATAATGATGAGCGAAATTTTCTCTCTCTCTCTCTCAATTCTTGTTAAGTGATTTGTTTCCCATTGGTTAAGATCAATTTTCTCATCACTCTGGTCGGCAGATTGGTGATTGAACTATTGTCGGCAATAAATTTCATCTTCATCTTCATCATCATCTCTTTCTTTTTTCTCTTTCTTTTTTACCTCTAAGATTCTCTTACTTTTTACCTTAAGATGTTTTATTTTTTTTCTTCTTACCTTAGTTATCATCATCTTCTCTCTCTCTCTCTCTCTCTCTCTCCTGATCATCCTCATCATTTTCTTGAAAACCGAAAATTATGTTAACTTATCTTCATCTTTTTCTCAATATCTTCATTATCATCGTTATTATTTCCTTTTATTTTTCGCATCCAATTCCGACTCTGAGCTTTTCCTTATCCTCCATCATTCTAATCATAATCATCATCATTATCATCCTAATCATTTTTATCCTCATCTTTGAAGAGGAAATCAATTTGTTTTCCTTTTCCAATCAATTGATTACATGTTTTTAACCAATTTTCTGTATGTAAGTTAACCTTAACTGTTAAGTTGAACAATTTATTAAATTGTTACCAATTCTCATAAAAAATCAGCTGATTGTAAGCTTATAATTAAAGACTCAATTGATTTTTTCTCTGTGTGTGTGCGTAAATCTCAATTGATTTAATGTTAGTTAATTGATGTAAATTAATCCATTTAGACTTATCAATGAAATGGTAAATTAGTTAATTGTTGTTCACTTACGTTTCTTTTTACTATCAGAATTGTGATTTGTGTTTGTATTGGCGGTGGTCAAGATTGTATGATGTGGTGGTTGTTGATGATTGGATTGTGGTGGTACTTGTTGTTGTGATTGAGGTTGTGTTTGTTGTTGTTGTTGTTGTTGTGTTGATGGGGTAAGTTGACCCATTGATCCTTGAGGTGGTGGTGGGGGTAAGGGTGGAGGTGGAAGATGATGCATTGATTGATGAGCATTGGACAAATGATCACCATTTGGACTTGAAGCTGTTGAATACAAATGATGAGGATGAAGGTGATGATGATGATGATTACTTTGTATATAAGCCGTTATATCGTCCTGCATGATTATATCAATGATAATGATTGATTACCTTTTCTTTTTGTTGATGATAAAACAAACAAATATAAACAAAGAAACAAAATTTATAAACAACAACAACAAATTGTCAACAATAAATAATTTTTCTCAATAATTTAACAGATACGATTGAAAATCCAGTGTGAATATTTTTGTTGCGATTGCGAATCACCACAAGATATTGGAACACCGATTAAGTGAAATTAATTAGAGGAAACTTTTTATTTTCTCTTATCAATCGATTTGTAATCAATGGAGAAAAAATTTGAATTTCCAAGGATTACGAACTAATTTAGAAATTGGTTCAGATGAGATTGTTGTTGTTTTCACGATTCGATTGAAATGGACGAATTGGTCAGTATTGAACAAAGGGAACACGAAGTAAATTCCGAGGCACCGAGTAGTAGAACTGAACAGGTAAAGAGAAAGAGAAAGAGAGAGAGAGAAAAAAAATATAAACAAAAGGTAAATTCGAAAAATAGAAAAAAAAGTTTTGATGCAACTTAGGCTCGTTTCGAGTTGCTGGTTTGCTTAACTTTCTGACTAAATGACAACTAAACTTACGAACGATAATAGATGAAAAAAAATGAGAGAGAGAGAGAGAGAGAGAGAGAGAGAGAGAGGAGGTACAGTCTTTGCCATTTAATTTGTGTGTGTCTGTAGTTATGGTGGAAAAGGTAGGAAAGAAACTCCGCCTTCCAGAGTGGGGGAAATTGTTAAGGTGAATTTTTTTTCTCAATTAGCTGTACATACATAACTTAACAACACAACAACAACACCGATACATCAAACTGAATACCTGCCACCCCACTGGTGTAGGAGGAGTTAAGGGCCTACTCTTGGGGAGAAAGAGAGAAGAGAAAGAGAGAAAAAGATAGAGACTGAATCACAGGCATTTATAGGCAGGTAGATGATGATGATGATGATGAAAAAGATTCTTGATCATGAACAGTATTTTTTTTCTCTTTTTTTTTCTTTGCTTAGAATTCATTTGACTTTTACTATTATTACATGAGAGTGATTACAATGGGTTGAGATTGAGGGTGGAAGAGGGTGGGAAGGAGTGAGAAACTATTACTCTTTGATTGTAATCATCATCATGATGAAAAAAATTATCTTCTCATTTTTTTTTATCTCTCTCATTCTCTGGATACTCATCAGAATTGTACTTTTAATGATTCTCTCGTTAACTTACCTTTGATTTTTATGTTGTTTTTTTCACCTGAAATTGGTTCAATTTCATCTGATTTTAGATAAATTTTCATGATGATTGTTGGATAAAATTTCACTCAGAATATTGGATTGGGTAATCGGTTGGCTATCTAAACCTGTGTGTTGATTTAGTTGATTTATTGATCATGATTATGATTAAGGTTATTCTGATTCTTGTATCAAATTGATTCGCATCTTGATTAATTTATATCATAAGAGTTGATGGTTTTCTTGTCTTGGAATCGTAATTTAGAACTCGAATCAGTCCAGAAAGCAACATTTCTATTGTTAATTGTTACTTGTTTCTTATTAAATTTAACAGAATTCACAATTATAAATCTCACAATTTAATTTGATCAACGTGATTATGTGAATTGAATTGAGATTTAATTGAGATGAGTTCAGATTTTTCCGAGATTGAAAACTTTGGCTCGTTTTTATGATTTGAACATTTGGTCATTTTAATTATGTTGGTCACTATTTAGGGTTCATAATTGTTAGTAACAATTTTTTCCTATCAAATTGATTAATTAAAAATTGAGATTAATCTTAGCGATTGGAGTGACATCTCTTAGTATAAGAGGAGAAAATTTTTTACTTTCAATCGGATGTAAACAGTTACTCCATCTAAGAGTTTGTTAAATAACTAAATTGATGAAAAGATAATCTAGTTAATTGTAAATTAATTTCTAATCAAATGTCAATAAAGAAGCGAGAGGAAAACTTGTTAAGATATTGAGTATTTATCAGTAATTTTTTCTCTTTTTATTATTCATGTGCATCAGCAGTATATTAAAGGTAAACAAAAGTTCATCGGATATCATCAGTTGATAGAGATTAAAGAAACTTTAGAAATTGATCTTCAATTATCCTGAACAATCATAATTCTACTAATCATTCTTATCTAATAATATCAGCTGATTCCATGGAAATGCATCATCTCTCTCTCTCTCTCTCTCTCTCTCTCTCTCTCTCTCGTCATTTATTTATATCTTTTCATATTTAACTTTCTCTTTCTATTCACCATGTAACAAGAAAACAAGACTTTAGGTACATATCAAGAGGAATAATGAGAGAGAGTGAGAGAGAGAATGAGATAGTGAGAGTTACCTGATGAATCTTATTATCTTCAGGTATAAAGATCCATTCATCCCGATGATGATAATAGATGATGATGATGAAAAAAGTAGCCTTTGGTTGCAGCTCATTTAAAAGGGCGGAGGCCATTTAATCAACTGAGATTAAGCTCATCTCATCTCATTATTGTTATTATCTTTTTTTACAGAGATAAACTGAAAGAGATTTTCTCTCTCTCTCTCTCTCCTTCCATCATCAACATTATCATCCTTATCCTCGTCATCTTCATCATTCTCGTCATTTTCATCATCAACATTATGATGATTATTAATTTTACCTTTTTGTGTTGATTGTTGTTGTTAAATCCAGTAACAAACAAGGCGTCACCATTGATGACGACGATGATGATACTCTGATACTGAACAACCATACATACATATAAATATTAATATAATGGAGATGATGATAAATAATAACAATGATGATGATGATGATGATGATGAAGTATAATAATACTAATGTAAAGGTAAGTTCAGTTCATTGAATAATATTTATTAATATGAAAAAATGTATGATAATTGATGTTGGTGATATTATTACACCTATGATATTATATTGACCCTGAATACTTTTCCAGTTAATAGTTAATCAACGTCGCTGGATTAGATAGTTAATTGTTTGGCTATTAACGATACTCATTCATAACATTTTCCTATTATTATAATTTAAACGAGCTTCATGTGCTTCTGGTTGTTTAAATCATTCATTTCAAAGATCGAACCTTCAAATCAATTCTGTGAATAATCTTCTTTATGTGTCTAATTAAGAATAAAACTTTGGTTGTTGATTGAAATGATTGAAAAATTTTATTGATTTAACTTTAATATCGAAATAAATTAACATTTAAACAATTAGTTTTCCTTTCATTCGTTAACATTTGGGTACCCATTATTCATGGGATCCATCAGTGGTGATGTTTATCATGATCTGATAGATTTGAAGTAGAAAAATTTACTAATTAGTTGAGTGATTGTTTAATCACATAAATTATACCTTTCTGCAGATTATAACCCCAGTCCAATAAGTAATGAGAATTTGAATTCAAGTTCTCATTACTTACTGGACATGGATTATTTATATTTAAATGACAAATAAAAACGTTCGTCAGTATTATTTCACTTACGATGGTGTTTTTCATGATGATGATCAGACTTTGGGTGATCGTGTTTCTCGTGGTGGTGATCGTGTTTTCATGGTGGTGATCGTGTTTCGTGATGATGATCAGACTTTGGGTGATCGTGTTTGTCGTGGTGGTGATCATGTTTTTCATGATGGTGATCATGTTTCTCGTCGTGGTGATCGTGTTTCTCGTGGTGATGTTCATCCTTTTCATGGTGTTTCTTAGCTTCTGTTGAAATTGAAGAAACAGCAAAAAAAAACCAATGAAAATAATGAAATGGAAAACTGATCAATGGACTTCGTAGAGAGACTTACTTTTTTGGATTGAATAATCGACATTTTGGAAAAGTTCTAGTCCAAGGTCTGTAATTCGTAACGCAATTAATAACGTTATTTTGTGTTATTAAAATTAATAACAATAGAATAGAATACTTCAGAGAAAAAAAAATGGAGAAAATTGTTCAGAAAAACTTACCTCCAGAATCGAAGGCCACTTTTTTATCATCGGAACTTTGACTCTCCGCTGAAGTGACACAAACGACAACTGACAAGAGTTCGATAAACGAGAATTAAACAAATCAGATTCCGAATTCAGACTTACAATTAATAAATAAACACTTACCTGCGAGAAAGTAGACAACAATTAGTTGGGAAAAACGCATATTTGATACGAATGATTATATTCAATCACTAATCAAAAGTTAATTTACTGATAGTAATAATCAACCTTATCGTAACCTTTATATTCTAGACAATTCAATCGATCAACTAATCATCAGGAAACTCTTAACTTTATCTTTGATTGTTTCCTAGATTAAATAATTAAACAATTATCGATTGTTAACAATTAACCTTGACATTGTAATTAAACTAACACCTTGTGTATTATAATCAACAGATCGTATGATTGTTTGATTGAGACAGACATCAATTTTTTCGAGTAAATCATTGAAAATAATTCTGATTAGAATATGGAAACAATTAACTGATAATCAACCGATTGTCCATCCAGTGATTAGAGACCAATTGGCCTAATAAACCTGAGCGATGATCGGACTCAAGCATTGGACGGATTATCTCACGATTATTGATATTCATTAAGAAAATGACCTCGAAAATGTTTTCGCTTTACAAATGAGATACTTTTAATATTCGACGAGCAAAAATTGATGATAACCGATTTGGAATTGCAATTGCACCTTTTTAATTGTTGTGTCAAATTGGAATCGTTTAATTGTCTCTGATCCACAATAGTCATTACGACTAAACGAAATGAGGATATTTTCATGTCAATTTCATATCAAAATCTTATCAAATTGATAATATCAATCAAAACAATGGGGAATTTGAAGATGTTGATTATCTAATTACTACTAATTGTTGTTGTCATTTTTGCTTCGAAAATAATATAACATTATTGTATAATCGATAAGAGTTTCTTTCATCTGATAACATAACAGAGGTTTAACAAATCATCATATGCAATGTAATTAAACTAAAACAATTAACAAATCATCAAAGGTACAAACATTTAAAAACCAACACCAACCATTGACCTGAATCCAAAGAGTTTGATTATCACAGTTTCATCATTGGATCTTCATTTAATTCAGCAACTGGATTAACGAGATTAAATCAATTCGCACAAAAAAAACACCATCTCTTGCTCTTCATCATCCTCATCATCATCTTCCACCCACCAACAACACCTTCTCCACTCATCTTCTTCTTCATTTACCTTTTTCCTCCTTCCAAATCATCTCACCTTGATAACTATTCTCATTGAATGATAATATTTATTGCAATTTAGTAAATAATATTTGGAAATTCAAATGATACAAAAATCTAACGATAAATAACTAAACCAATCAATCGAAAAACAAACAAATCGTTTCCAATTAATTGTATCAAGTTGACGAATGAAAGTTTTTTCTTCTCTTTTCTTTAAAATATCTTATTCGTAACATTAGATGGCGCTGATTTTTGACTGTGATTTTTTCTGTTCTAACGTCACCAATAGTGAATTTAACTGAGATTAGTTGAATGAAACCCTAAATGAAAACAGAGATTCTCGAATTTGAAAAAGTAAAATTGAACATTGTTCATTAGGAACGACAATGTCAACGTAAACCAGTCAAGGGAATGAAAGGGCGAGAAGAATAGATTGGAAGTATCCGTTGACGAAAAAACCTTTGACGAGACTATTAGGCCAATCTAGAAGCCTGAATAGAAAGTTGGAGGAAGACAATGGAAAACATTTGACCAGAATTGTTGGAAATTAGAAGAAAACTAGTCACACAATAATGGAACTCGAAACATTTTCAAATAGAACAAATTGTAAACAGACTAAATCGCCAGATCGCAATTGAAATCTTTTCATTCTCTTCTCTATTAATCGGTGGCTTACGATCGATCGAGATCAGCACCCAAGGCTGTCCAGTTATACGACGACTGTAATTAGTCACCTCAAAGAGGAACAATAAATTTCGAAAATCAATTCAGATGGCTATTCAAATATAGTTGTTTTCGATTCCAATAGATGGCGTTACTGTTTTGTTCGGGTAAATTGGTTACTATGAACGTGGACAGATGGCATTAGTTATACTTTGTTTCTTTTTCCTCACATTTGTGTATGTCTTAAAATCGAGGCTCAAATTTTTTATATTATAATTGTTACTCTTTAATTGTGATCGGGTCGTTTATTGGATCAAAATTATGATTGGTTTAAATTTGTTAATTGTCGATGGTTAACTTATCTTGTCTTTTCACTTTACTGGTTGGTTGTTGATTTGGGTTTTAACATTTGGTTTCCAATTTGAGACACTTTTGGTTTTCTCTCTCTCTCTTCATCTCTTTTTTTGTATTCCTAATCTTTTTCAACCTTTGGCTCTTGATCATCTTCACTCATCAACAACCGTCAACATAATCCAATCAGTGAAAACAGTTACATGGTATTTTGTATCTTCCCTGGTAAGTTTGATAAATTTTCTATTCATGATTATCTAGTCTAGAATAGAATAGAATTTAAACATGAATAGAATTTCCAATGTTCTCTTCTTCTGTTTATTTTGTTTTTTCTATTCTCTTGTTCTTCTTTTTTTTTTCTTCTTTTTCCTTTCTTGCTCATGGTAGTAAAAGAGAAACTAACTTTTCTCTTTTTTCTCCTCTATTCCGCTGCGCCCATAAATAATATTCTCCTTCTTAAAAATGTTCTTCTTTTTCATTTTTTCCTCATAGAATCTTGTCCACCGGGTAAGTTATTATCACCATCAACATCAACAGAAGGAGGAGGTGGAAAAGAAAATGCTGTAACATTAACCTCAAGAGTAAAACAATTCACATCCTCTTCTACTCGATCTGAAACAACAACACTATCACCACCTCCACCAGGAAACAATAATCTGAATCATAATAATACATCTATTATCAGTGGAATGAATCAAACTGAATCAAGCATGTCTGAAGGTTACTCTTTTTACAATAATTTGTCTACTGGATCTGAAAAAATTAATTCTGTTTCCCGAGATTGTGCCAATGGATCATCTTCATCAGTATCTTCCTCACCTTCATCTACATCATATTTTATTGTTTACAATAATAATAATGTTATTACAAGTAAAGATCCTCCACCTTTACAGAAACAATATTTAAGATCTCAAAAAGGTTTAAGATCACCACATCATCTTCACCATCATCAACAACAACAGCACCAACAATCTCAACCTTCACATCATCCTTATTCTCAAAATCATATGTCAACACTTTCCTGGTCATCTGCTTCTTGTGATTCTTCTGAAATCTCATATGATTCAATTAATTCAGATTCTACAAATGAATCGTCTACAACAACAACAACAACAACAACCACTGCAACGTCAACCACAACCACTAACACAATAACAACCACTCAACAGCCAACCAAAAGTGATATAACAACATCAACAACCACAACAACCACAACCAATGCTCCAACCAATGGTCAGTTGGTAAGTACTCTTTGTGTTGTTTCCAGGGATAGTACATTAACCACAACAACAACAACAACAACTACCCAGCAACAAATCACAACACCAACAACAAACAGTGCTCATCATCAACAAAACGCCAATAGTGAAAACAGGAACCCCAAACAAGGTTATCTACCATGTACACCAACACCACGCTCATTTAGATATCCATCTTTCATCTCATTTAATCACATTTCCAGTGAAATGGGAAGATCCAATTCATATGATTCATTTGAATATCAACAATATCAACAGTACCAACAATATCAGCAACAACAACGACAGCAATTTCTTCAAAGTATATGTGATGATAATGAAGGTAATAATAATGTTCCAGATGAACAACAACAACAACAACACCAACAACAACAGGAACAAGAAACATCATCCAATGAACAGCAACAGCAAGAATCGACATCAACAACAACTACAACAACAACTACAACAGCAAATACAACTGGTAATGTATCCCAACAACAACAACAACAACAACATCCACACCAAGAATCCACATCTTCATCAACTGAAAATCAATCATCACAACGTCAAGAATCATCGTCATCATCAAATGAAAATTTATCACAACAGCAAAATCAACAACAATCAATTGAAAATGAACCACAACAACAACAACAACAACAGCAAACTCCATCCACAACCCCAATGAATATTAATTCAACTGCATCAGTTACATCAACATCATCATCATCAGCTTCTGAAAATGAATCATCTTCAGAAGATGAGATGGAATTACCTGAGAATTGTCACTATTCTCCACCCAAAAGTGTTGATCGCGATGCTGCTTCTCGTTTAGCTAAACGATTATTCAATTTGGAAGGTTTTAAAAGGTCCGATGTTTGTCGACATTTATCAAAGAATAATGATTTCTCCCGAATCGTTGCCGAAGAGTATTTAAAGTTTTTCAATTTTAAGGGTGATTCCTTGGATGGTGCCTTGAGAAAATTTCTATCTTCTTTCTGTCTAATCGGTGAAACTCAGGAAAGGGAAAGGGTTTTACAACATTTCAGTAAACGTTACCTGGACTGTAATCCAGATACCCTAAAGTCAAGTGATGCCCTTCACACCCTCACCTGCGCCATAATGTTACTTAACACCGATCTCCATGGTGAGGTAAGCATCATGTTCACAATTATCTCATCATCCGCATCAAGTTCATTTTTAGTTAACAAGATATTATGTAGTTCTTTTTGCTACTCTGTCTCTCTCTCTCTCTCTCTCTCTCTCTTCAGAGCAGAGTTCATGTTGCTTTTGTGTGTGTTGAGATGGATTTAATTTCATTCTGTTTACATCTTTCATCTTCCTACATCGTCTTAATCTTTCATCGTGTCTCTTTCATTAGATGTGAACGTTTCTTTTGTTGTTCATTATTTTTTCATGATAATGATGATGATGAATTTTCAAAATGTTCATTTAAAGTAAAATATCAACATTTTTAGCTAAAATTTATTCTAATAATTTTTGATTCTTTCCATGATCTCCTTTTTTTTCTTCTTCACTCACCATGATAGTTCAATGCTTATATTGTAAAATTGGTTGAGGAAGAAATTGAATTGATGATTGAGGCAAAAAATTAAAATGCAAATGGATGATAATAGATTATGTTGATGATGATAAATAACAGAGAGAGTGATTGAGAAAAATAGAGAGAAGCAATGATGATAAAGTCATTGTGAATTATGACAATGAATCTCATATAAAAATCGAGATTTTTTCCCAATCTCCCTGGATCTCTCTCTCTCTCTCCTTCCCATGACTTTTCTTCCCTATTGTTATAACTATTTGGCCATTTAACGTTAGTTTTTTTTCATGAAAACGAAAAAAACAATCATGATAATGCTTAAGATTTCATCATTATCATCAATTTCCTCCCCACAAAATCAACTCAACATGGATGAAAATGAAAATATCTTCTCCTTTCATTATCATTTTACATCTTCCAATTATTTTCTCTCTCTCTCTCTCTCTTTCTCTCTCATCTTATCAATTCCTTTTTGTATTCATTATTTTTCATCATCATCTCTCTATCCTTCTCATCTTGCCTTCTCCTCTTTCATCTCCTCATCATCATCATGTCATTTATTAATCTTATAATACTTTTTTCATCATTCATATTCATTTACAAAGGTTAGATGAATATGAAAGAGTTGATTAAAGATGAAGATAATACTCAATCATAGTGCACTAATTTTTCCTCTGCTCTCCCTGTAAAATTGTAATTCATTGAACAATTGAATTCACTCTTAACCATTACCATGAATTTCTTGTAGATCTTATTTTTTTTTCACCATATCCTAAATCATTATCATCTATAATGTAATTACCTTTAATGAAAATTTTCATCGACGATCCCAGTTAAAATATAATAATAATAATGATCATTATAATACAAATATAATAATGGTTATCATCTTAAGATACTTTAATTGTTTCAATTGATTAAATCATAAACATTAAATGTAATTCAATTTGAATTTTCAATTTATTCAAAATGTAACAAACCGTTACCATTGATTTAATTGCAACGTTAATTGCACTTTACCAAATCATAATGATATACATAATAATCTCTCATATTATTTAATTACTCAATTAACTAAATTGTATTTAAATTTTGTTCTTTCTACCAGAATGTTGGACGTAAGATGACCTGTAACGAATTCATTGATAACCTTTCTGATCTCAATGACGGACAAGATTTTCCCAGAGACGTTCTGGTCTCAATATATCAATCGATTAAAGTGGAACCATTACAATGGGCTTTGTAAGTTATATTAATTTAATTATTCTTCTCTAATTGTCTTCTAATTATCATTATTAATTAGACAAGATTACAAATTATTCCAATCACCTTTCCAATGAATATATAATTTACAATTTATTCTGATAATTCTCAATAATAATATTGAGTTTTTCCAATAATCATGATTATTGCTTCTGTTGAATCATTTTATATATTATTATTTATTATTATTATTCAACCTGAATAATAATATATTCACCTTATCATGTTTTCTCATGATGATCCTGGTATAATAATTTACTATTTTATTGGTAATATAATAACAAATAAGATATAAGGAGTAATTGTATGTGTGTGTGTGTGTTTATGTATTTGTAACAAAAAAAATTGGTAACAATTGATCAGGATGATGAAGATGATTTATATCAAATTTATTTATTTTTTTTACCAGAATCTCAGACTAACCTGAATCAGTTTAACTCATCACAATTCCTCTCACCTTTTCAGCTATTCTCATGTAATAATATTATTTTCATGTCAAGTGAATACTTGATATCATGAAGTTTGTTATTTGTTGATTTTATTGTTTGCTTGTTACCGTTCAAAAGAAGCAAAAAAAGTTATTAGAAAATTTTTTCTTCATCTTCTCAATGCTCATCTATTTTGTATTTAAAACTTGCTGCTCAGCAGGATTACCAATTGATGAGCCTCTTGGACTCACATAGGAACTGAACTTTTCAGATATTTTATGTATATCATGAATTTTTGTTATCACCCTTTTCAACTCTCTCTCTCTCTCTCTTTCTCTTTCTTTCTTTCTCTGGTTCTGTCTCTGCTGTCTTCATCTTCAATACCGATCGATAGTATCACTGAAAAGGAGTGTCAACAAGCCTGTAGCATTTGATAGTTTATAATATTTATCATGATTCTACAGGGTAACCTTAGATTCCTAAATGTAGCGTTCCTTAGACTACACAGTTTATTCAGTTTTGAGATTTTTTTCTCCTTTTCCTTAACTTTTTCTACCCTGAAATTGATTTCTCTTTCCCTTTCCATGAATTTATCATCATCATGATTGTAACACAATTAATTCAAAAGCAAAAAACTCTACCAGAATTGAAATCGACTTTCAATGAAGTTTCAATCTTGTTGACGCGATTTTTTTTCAATAATATGAAATGAAGTTGAAATAATCGTCTTGGGAAATCATTCGGTTATCATTTCTGTATCATTATACTCATCAGAATCGTTAGAATCATTTTTTCATCCCATTCTCCTTACTTTTTTTCCATGATGATGGTAATGATGATCTCGCTAAAAGAGTCGAAAAAAAAAGAGAATAAAATTGAAGAGGAAACTTTTACCACCTTTTCTATCTCCACCCACTGTCACCCAAAGTTCCATATTCTGTGAACTGAAAGATAAAATAAAAGTTACAAGAATGGAAGATGACCACAGATGATGATGGAAAATAGAAGAGGTAAAAAAGAAGTTGCTAAAAGCATTAGATGAAAAAAAGATGAAGAATTAGTTGATTTAGCTCTTTCGGAATCTGATTCGGGAATAGAATGAGGTCTTTTGTGTTCTATCAGAATAATATTTCCCCTCATGATTCTTGAAAACTTCTTACTCTGGACTCTGTTTATATTATTCTTGATCCTAGTTTTTTTCTGTCTCTCTCTCATGTTGACCGATATCTCCTGAGTATTTTTGTCAGGGAAAGTTCACCTTTCATTGTTAACGATAATGCTCTGAGTAAACTAATATTAATATATAATAACTTATAATAAGTTCTGCTTTTATCTTTTATCAGAATTGAAATAACAAAAAACAATAACAAAATGTATTGAGAAAAAGTCTAAGAATTGATTTTCTCTCTCGTTACCAGAACTTTTTCTTTAGAGTAGAACAAAAAAATATTCAAACAAATGAACAAAATTATTATAATAATTGCATATTAACTGATCTGTTATGTGAAATTGATATTAATATTCATAGAGATTCAGATTTCCATGATATAATCAATAGTCATCTTTTTTTTCTCAGAGTTGATATTATCATGTTAATCATTAAAACCTTTTGTTTACTCCATTACTTTTTTCATCCTTATCATGTTGTTTTGATAATAATTAAAATTAATCCAGTTTCGTTGTAATTACGATGCTACTACACAATCAACTAGAAATTGTTTCATTTCATTATGATGATGAAAATTTCTGCTTACATGGTTCATATACAGGTTATTGAATTACTTTACTCTCTCAAGATTAGGATGATAATAATTATGATAAAATATTCAGGTATCATAAATATAATCACATTGTTTTTTATTTCCATAATATCTCAATGTCTATCATCATGTAATTATTATTAGTTAATCATCATAATCATTTACCACCCACTTCCCTTTCCTCCTCCTTTTACTTGTCTATTGTCATTTTATCATCATTATTATCATCATTGGTTTCTAATAACGTGCCAATGCTCAGGTATCTTGATACATCCTTTTCCTATTGTTTTAACTTGTTATCAACATCAGTTGGTTGATTAAATTACATTGATTAAAAATTGAATTAACAAACTGATTCATTTCTAATACATGAAGGTCAACGTACTAATTGTCGATAGTTTTTCAATATTAAATATCATCAATACGATACTATGACGATTGTTATTAATTAATAGAACCCAATGATTTTTAATTACTGAATTAATTATTTCTCTTTTTCATATCATCATGTCATTAACACTTAATAACCTTTTTCTTTCACTTGGTTACTTAATACTGACCATTGGAAATGTTTGTTATGTGTTTCTTTTATTGTTGTTTTTTTTTTGCTGACCAGTTCAACTTAAATTATCCTTATATTATATGTCTCTTATTATTATTTTGATTATTATCCACATCCAATGAATCAAGTTATTTAATTGCAATTGACTATTAGTAACATAAACAATCAAAATTAATTGGAAACTTATTGATTGATAAATGAACCATGTTAACACCCTCATTAAATAATCATAATGAAATGAATTGTTGACTTTTTTACTTCTAATTTTTGTTCATTGTTTTACTAATCCAATGACACATATCATTTACACAACCTGGTACTTCAATAAACCTTAAAACAACTTGATTATCACAATTGATTATCATGATGATGATGATGATGATTAACAATGAAGCTGATGATTGTGTTGTTATTATTATCATTATGGTTAGTTAACATGTTATCATTTTTCAACCGCTTCCTTCCGCCTCCACCTCCTCCTTAAAGTTAATTCATGTTATTTTAAGGTGTTCAAAGTTTCGCAATTTATCATCTTGTTTATCATCCTCATCTTCTTAACATGTATTGGACAGTTTCCTTTCTACATACATGTATCATCATTTATTACTAAACAAGGAGAAGTACAAAAATATTCTCATGATAATCATCTTGTTTTTATCAATCGTTGTTTTAATTACTTAACTTGATTAACACGCTATCTATTTGACTTTGCTTCCAATTATCATTATATTGTAATACACAACCGTTACCATGATTAGTATTACCTTTTTACCTTACTAAATGTTGTAAAAATCTTTACATCATTTGCATAATTCAATTAACTATAACTTGATGATAATGATGATGATCCGATGCATCTATCATATTTATTGATATTATAACTTTCATGTTAATAATAATCAACCAATTTTGATGTACATTAAATGTGTCTCCAGGCAAAGTAACGGTAAATAAAAAAGATGATTGCTAATAATAAATTGAGAAAAAAGGTAATGTCCTTTACTGTCTTATTGTAATTTTCAATTACTATTATCATTTAAGATGAAATCGTCATCATCTTAATTGGTAAACTTATCATTCTCATCATCTTTTTGCTAATAATCTTATTAATCTGTTAACCAGTTTCAGATATTTGTTAACAATTTACTTATATTTATGTTTACCTTTTTGTGTCTCATCAATGAATAGATTAATTAACAATTAACTAATCCTAATTTTGGTTTTAATTATTAAGAAATAATAATAATTTATGCTACAATGAATATAATATTATATTTAATGTACATGAAAATGTTTCAGCTTTTTTAATAATTAATTTTAATCATCTTAATAACCTTTTCCTTACTAACAAGGATCACTTTGATTAATGTAATTAATGGCTAATTGTGATTAACTCAATTGTTCAACTATCAATTGTTTTAAATCCCATTTATCTATTGGTTAATATTAATCTGATTTATTAATAGTTAAAGGTTATCCAGTTGACTTTGATTAAAATTAGATGAAACCTTATCCATTCAATTTTAATTTTATTTCTTAATCAACATTAAATTGAGAGTAAGATGATAAATATTAATGTTATCAATGTAATAATGTTGATAATATTTACTATTAATAACTTATCGATTTGAATATCTCAATGATTTCTGTTGATTTGCTTAATTTAGACATTGATTTTCAATCTTGGTCTCATTTATCATTATCATCATCATCAATTAACTGTACATATCAATTTATATTTAAATTTATATCATTGATATGAATGTGTAACTTAATTATTACAAAACCTTTATGTTTGTCTGATTCAATATATTAACAATTTGAATCATTTGACAATTGCTATTTGCTTTTATTGCCTTTTATTTTTGGAACCTCAATTGTCAACAATAATAATCATCATCACCATGTTAAATCTGATTGTGTTGCAGAAATTGTTGATTACTTTTGAACGCATCATGATAATATTATAACCCAACCCAAAGGTTATTTGATTTTTACATACAATTGATAGAAACATTTTCATGTAAACAATTGATTCCTAACTGGATTCATTGTTTACTTGTGTGCATTTTAGTTTATATGTTAATAACTATTGATTTTGAATGAATCGTTGGATAAACGGGAGAGAGAAATGATGACGATGATGATATGAGACGAATCGTTGGGTTTTAGATACATTGAAAAGTGTATAATAAACATGAAAGGATGATGATGATGAATCAAAATAAG